GTGGGGAGAGGAACAACTGTAATAATCTGAACAATAAAGATTTAATTTAAACAAAATAAAAAATAAAGTTATAGAGACATGAATTGATAATTAAGGACAAGCAGATCTTCAGAATAAGAGGCAGAACTAGACCTTAGAATTTCTCTCTTTCTAGTGAACTTCCAAATGACCACACATTTCAAAGAAGGTGATTACTGAATTCTTTAAATTTTTAAATGACATTTTTATTTATATACTTTTATAGTTAATTCTGTTTCCAAGTAGGATAATTGATTAATGCTATGAACTACCCAAAGATTGTAGGTCATCTTTGTTGCAAATATTCTTCAGGAGCTATAGCAATTTTACACATATAATTTAAAATCATCTGTCATATGAAAACGTAATGGGCATTGCCCTGGCTGGTGAGGCTCAGTTGGTTGGAGCATCATCCCATGCACCGAAAGGTCACAGGTTTGATTCCTGTTCAAGGCACATATCCAGGTTGTGGGTTTGATCCCCGGTGGGGGTACGTATGAGAGACAACCGATACACGTTTCTCTCTTGAATCAATGTTTCTTTCTCTCTCTTTCTCTTTAAAATCAATAAAAACATACCCTCAAGTGAGGATTAAAAGAACAACTAAGAAACTATCACCTTTTAAGAAAAAAAGTAATGAGCATCAATTAAATAAAAGAAAGGACAAATGGAAAAAACAACAAAGGCATTTTACAAATACAATTTTAGCAATTTTCCAACCTATCTTTACCATGTGTCAAGTTAAATTCCTAAGATAAAATAATTATTATTAATATATAGGGGACTAAGTGTTTTATCTTCTATTTTAAATGTTTATTTTGTGAACATGTGTGACATAATCAGGAAAACTTATAATAATAAACTTCTTATAGTAAACATGCATACCAGAAATATTTATATAACCCAGAAAAAAAATCTTCTTTTATGGTGCGCAAATACAGATTGTGCCTTATTTTGACCTCTGCATTTGTTCATTTCTACTCTTTGTCAACAGGGTCCGCGAGAAGTAGTTCTTTGGCTTTCGGTACATCATAAAGAGAAGAAGGCACTGGAAATTTTTTCAAGAGAAATTGCACCAGCAGGGACTGGAATGGGTAAGCATATATGTGTTTATAGTTGCAGTTCTGAGAATTCCTTACTTTCTAATTACCATCGTCAGTTGCAATATTCGTTAATTAGACCTCTGAATATGCGTAATAGTGGATTTGGGTGATAATCCCAGACAAAGCAACCTGGTAAAGTTTATTATAGGTTTGCTGTGCCCATGTCACCACCCACCCCATCCTGGGTTCCAATTTCCCTACATTAGGGTCCTTTTTCCCCAGAATGGACTCCTCTGGTGCCCTCTGAACAGGTCCCGTGCTGCCCTGTGCCACTCCACCCCCGGCCCCGACACACAGGGCCCTTTCCTTCGGTGCCCTTGCTTTCCCCTCACAGCTGAAATTGATCTGCCACCCTCACCGGACTGGGCCTCTCAAGGCTTCAGTTTTGCTAATCCAGTGAACTTATCCTATCATGGGATATAACTTTTGAAAGGCCATGAATTCCCACATTGCACATATGGAGAAATGTGGCTTAGGGAGGGAAGTAGGTAAAATGAGAGAAGGCAGGTGCCCTCTTTTGGCTCCTAAGAAGAGAAGTAAAATTTTCTAGTAATATTAGTGGCACGGGGAAGAGTTCTGTTCCTGTTCCACTACCTTCCTTTTCCTCTACCTACGATGAGAAATGGAGGGGGGAATTGAATATTGGCGATGCAAGACTTACATTTTAAAATTAATACAAAGCAAAAGTGAACAAGTGGGACTACCTTAAACAAAAATACTTCTGCACAGAAAAAAAAAACCAACAACAGCCACCAATAAAATCAGAAGGCAACCTATGAAATGGGAAGTATTTGCAAACCATATATCTGATAAAGGGTTAAGGAACTTATACAATGAACAGCAAAAAACCCCCAAACAATCCAATTTAAAAATAGGCTGAGGAATAGACATTTTTCCAAAGAAGACATACAAATGGCCAACAAGTACATGAAAAAATTCTTGAATATCACTCATCACGAGGAAAATGCAAATCAAACCACAGTAAGTTGTAACCTTACACTTGTTAGAATTATTTAAAAAAGAGAGAGTGAGATAATAAATGCTCCTCAAGAAGGGGGATTGGGAGAGGGAGAGAGACAGAGACAGACAGAAAGGAAGAAAAGGAAGGGGGGAGGGGAAGAAGAAGGATTGGGACAAAAATGTGAACATATTTTTAAGCTGCAAAGTAATACACATGAGCAAAATGCAAAGTGATCTCAATGAAATATTTGTACAGTATCTATATAATCTAGTCCTGTCTCTTCTCAGACTGCATATTGCTCATCACTTTTTTATTGATGATTTGGAATTGCCATTTTGAACATGCGAACTGCATAGACTGATACTCCCTCTGTAGTTTCCATTCATCTTCAGGTTTGAGAGAAACAAAATCTATAATGTGTTTTACTATTTTTTTAGTTTGTGATGCAGCTAAAAAACAGTTTCTAAGTGATACTGAATTTGGGAAGGAGTTTAGGGATTCTGGGTACTATTAAATATCCTCATTCTAGGACAAATTTTTTGGTACGGTTTCTTCTAATGGGACAATCAGAGCACACAGGCACAGCGTGGAACAGCTTGACACAATTTTACATCCTGCATAACGAGTTGCCAGCTTTCTGCTTTCAGTCAGTATCTGTGCCTTTGCTGCTCCCCAGTAATCCAATCCCACATTGCAGATTGCAGCACCCCATTTCCAGGTGTCAGATTCTATATAGGTCAAGGTTCTTGATCTCAAACAGAACTCAGGCGAGTTTAAATAGAAAGAGATTTATTGAAAGTTATTAGGTGTCTCCCAGAATCTTAGGAGAACCATAGAACCAGTTTGGATACTACTCAGTCAACACACACACACACACACATTGATTCTGCAGCATCGGGCAGGTAGGAAACTGTATGTCAGAGTCCACCTTAGTTGTCTCAGAAGAACACAGGGCTCCACCACCCTGCTCCCCAGCAGATACCAACTCCCTGCATGCAATGCCCACCTCTCATGGGTCATTTGTCATCCAAGTCCTGGTTAGATGCCTTTGCTTCCCTGAAACTTAGGCCACATGCCAGCACTCTAGCTACAAGAAGACTGGGAAATGTTGGAGTTAGAATGGGTGAGGGTGAGCCAACCTGCAGGACTGGCCGCAGTTCCCTGCTCCCTTACAATTTCATTGTGAGACTTTAGGCAAGGTGCTTACCCCTCTCTAACGAATCCATTTTCCTAATACCTAACATGGGATTTTGGACCTCATGGATTCCAAGAGTTTTTACAGTAATGCAAATCTGCATCTGTACTAGTTACAGTTCTGGCTTCCAGTGAGGGAATCCTTACAATAACTAGTGAAAGTAAGTCAATGGGATTTATTGACTCAGAACTTAATTGTGGGAAGAGCAGGGCTGAAGCTGGCATTAGCGGTGTCTGTCTGTCTCAGCTGGCCTCTCACTGTCTCTCCTCTCTCCTTTGTGTAAAGACCAGCTCCTCCATGAAGCTAGTGCAGCAGCCCCTGACCACTCCAAAGCTCACATCTGAGATCATAGAGGAAAAGAGTTCTTTTCCAGACTCAGTTTTAAAGTCCCAAGAAGGACTCTTTCAGGCAAGCTTGGCTTGTGTGCCTGCTCTTATGGGCAGAGGAGTGGAGCAAGCATGTCAAACTCTTGGCCGGCGAGTTTGACATGCTTGCAGTAGAGTCTTTAACCAGAGAAGGGGTCCCATAGGTGTGGCCACAAGAGAATTGGTTTGAGCAATCAGCCACCTCCAATCTCTGACCAGTGCAGATTCTAAGATGTGGGGTTTGTTCATTTGTTTTCAGGCTTTCATTTTGTGAATCTCAATGTTGTGAAGGATTTAGTAGGTGATGCAAACACCATATAGATTGAGCACCTGCAATCAGGGAGTTTAAAATTTTGTTATAGAGATAAAGCAAATAGAGGCATATGAAGATTTAACCACAAACAAACAACATAATCCTTCCAGGGAAAGATTTGAAATCTAAAAGCAGTTGAATTGGAACTTGAAGGGATGCATTTGTTTAACAGTTTTGCCAGGCATTTCCCCCCAAATTATATTCCCAAACCAAATCATGTTTGGCTTAGACAGCGGTTCTCAACCTGTGAGTCGCGACCCCTTTGGCGGTCGAACGACCCTTTCACAGGGGTCGCCTAAGACCATCCTGCATATCAGATATTTACATTACGATTCATAACAGTAGCAACATTACGGTTATGAAGTAGCAACGAAAATAATTTTATGGTTGGGTCACAACGTGAGGAACTGTATTTAAAGGGCCAGAGGGTTGAGAACTACTGGCTTAGAAGATCATTGGTAAAATATAACATTAATATTTTTTCTTGAACTTTTGGCCTTCCCCTTTTTTCGAAGATGTTGACTGTGTTGGTATATAATGTACTGTGGAAAGTACATTATTATACTGAAATATATTTTGTCTTTAGCAATCAATATGATTTTGTACTTTGACTTTACACTTTATGAACATAGCTTGTATAACAGGGAGAAAATCTACCATTTTCTCCTTGACTCAAAAAATAGGTGGCTCATCTTAAAACTTATGTGGAATGCAGATAGCATTTTGAATATTAGGTTCTATTGTGTTGGCAATTAGATTGTGGAAAATGGGTGAAAAGTTCCAGCCGATCAATGTGATGGTCTTTGGTTCATCGTACAAATGAACTTCCTCGTTTTATAATCTGAAGCACATGCATATTAAGTAGAGAAAACTAATTGCAGTAAATCCTGGCAGTAATCTGGATATTTCAATAATGTCTCATTGTTATTTCTGAATTTACTTGTAACCCTGTTACATAAGGGTCTTATTTTTAAATTGTTTTAGTCTTGTCGGTCTCTCTCTCTGATTATTAATTTAGAGTGACTGAATCAGATTGTGTTTAATTAGGTTTTATATTTATATGTCATGTCAAAGCTCTTGAGTGTATTTTGTGCCTTTTTTCTCGTGGGCATTCCATATAGATGTAGTTAGTGGTTTGTACATACTCTGATTAACTATTTCTTTCTTCAAATTTCTATTGCCATAGACAATGAGCACTTTATACTAGCTGCTTTCTTGGCTGTAAAGACCAGCTTCTCCACGAAGCCGGAGCAACAGCCTCTGACAGCTCCAAGGCTCACATCCAAACCACTCTGAGATCAGAGAGGAAAAGAGCTGCTCGTTCCCAGACTCGGTTTTGGAGGCCCAGAAGGACAACCTGTCCACCCTATTTAGGATCGCCTAAACATAGCCTGTCCCCCTTCCCTGATTTTTCTTGAGGGCGCTTACCACTATATGACCTACTTTAAAAAGATTTGACTTACAGTTGACATACAATATTATATTAATTTCAGGTTTACAACATAGTCATTAGACATTTACACATCGCTGATCACTCCTTGCTTTCTAAAATAGGATATACATTTATGTTCAATGAAGGCATGAATGAACTAGGTGCAAAGGACAGCAATTCCAATAAGTGCAATGTAATGGTTTTAATGACTATCACAGTTATTTTATGACTATTTATCCCAGCATTTATGCCCCTTTTTTTATTGTAGGGCAGACTACAGATGTTTAGGAGGCTGAATTTACAGGGCTGAACTGGATTTGAGAAATAAGGGAGGGGCGTCAAGGATCATTCTGGGATCTGGCTGGGACCACTGGGTGGATGATGGTTCCACTCACAGAAAAGGAGAATATGGGGGAAGAAGCAGGTTTGGGTGGTATCCAGTAGGGAGCCACTGAGGAGACATCAATATATAGATACTAATTTCATATAAACATGCAATGGATTTGCTAAAGAGGATCCTTCCAAATATGCTTAGAAGGATTTGCCAGAGGCTTTTTAAAATTCAAGGAAATAAAGTATTTAAAAAAGAATGCAATGGTCATGGTGTCAAATGCCACAAAGAGGTCATATAAGATCAAAACAAAACAAAAAGTTCCCATTTGATTTTGCAGTAAGGATGTTACTGATGACCTTGGCTAAAACACTTTCAGTCAAGTGGCCAGGGC